CACGCACGCGCGCGAGATAAGCAGCTTACGAACGAAGACGGAAGAAGACTCGAAGAAATTCTTTTCTTTTTTATTTTATTGTTGTTGTTGTTGTTGTTGTTGTTGTTGTTTTATTATCATTACTATTTTCTTCTCTTTCATCTTACAACGTAAAGAAAACGGTAATATGCTTCTTGTCTGTTAATACTTCGTTGACGTTTTCTAATTATTCTTACCGGTTTTACAAATTATTCCTTTTGAAATGTCTCCTGTCGCATCGTCCCTTGACATTCCACGTAGAAGAGCACGGTCTTTTACCTCTACCGACTCCGAAGCCTTTCTAATCATCCGCCATCATGTTACAAGATGTGTTTAAAATCTTTCCTCTCTTTCACTCTGACATTCATATTGACACGCTTCTTTTTGCGCTACTTGCAAAATCACTTACTCTACGGGATATCCTTTTTCCATTCTTTTTCTTCTTCTTCTTCTTCTTCTTCTTCGTCCTCTTCTTCTTTTTCATTTTCATTTTTGCATTTCTTCATTTTTTTTTTATTCTTTTATCTCTTCATTCTCTTCTTCAAAATATCAAATACATACTAAATTATACTTTCTTTTACGAAATTTTCTCGTACAACTTCGTCGAGGATTGAAAAGAAGGGGGAGAAAAGAAAAGAAAGAAAAGAGAAAAGAGCTTTCGATAAATTTGATCAATCAAAGCCAATCAAATTCTTCGGAGGAGTTAATAATTCTTTTTTTTTTTTTTTTTTTCTTTTTTTTTTTTTCTTTTTCTTTTTTGTCTTCCTTGATCGAGAAAAAAGAAACCGTCTATTAAGATTGGAAAAAGAAAAATAGAAAAGTAAAAAGTAAGCGTAAGATTAAATTAAAAGGAAGAATTAATAAAAAGATAAGAAAGAATAAAGAAAGAAAGTGAACGAAGGAAAAGGAAATATCTTGAAAATATATAAAAGATATCAGTAAAAAAAAAAAAAAAAAAAAAACAAAAAATTGTACTCATGTCACGTATGAACGTTATTAATTAATTATTTGTTAAAATTGTCTTACGACAATTGAATGTATCATTTTTTCTTCTACCTCTTCTTTTTATCTTTCCTCTTTTTTTCTTTTCCGTTTTCTCTCTTTTCTGTAAGAAATGCAAAACCTACGACTCATTCTTGTCTAGAACACCCGACACTTTCACATTTGCTAAAACGAGTTTAAAGGGGAAGAAAAAAAAAGAAAAAAAAAAAAAAAAAAAAAAAGAAGAAAAAAGAAAAAGAAAAAGAAAAAAAAAACAACTGACTCCACGATACGCTAAAGTAAGTCGATCATTTTGGCGCGAGACGTTTATCGTTTTCTTTTCTTTTTCTCCTCTTCTTTTTTTTTTTCTTTTCTTTTTTTTTCTTTCTTTTTCATTGTATAAATAAGGTCAATAAAAGAGTGTACAGATTTATGAGACCGACGAATAATATATTTAACAAAAAAAAAAAAAAAAGAAAAAAAATCCGTACATATTATTATATAATACGTACTAGAGAGGGAATGGCGGGTGGAGGGGGAGGGGGAGGGAGGAAAATAAAAGAACAGAGAGAAAAAAGAAAACCAAAAGACAAAAAATAAGAAAAGAAAAAGAAAAACAAAGAAAGCAAGCAAGCAAGCAAGCGAATCCAATGGAAAAATCGTCGCGTCGTAGCGAAACAAAAATAATTGGCCGAATGAAAAAAAAAAAAAAAAAAAAAAAAGATAAAAAAAGGGCGATGATAATAAATTAATCAAGGTGTAAGATAAAGAATAAATAAAAAAAAAAAAAAAGAAAAAAAAAACGAATAAACGAAGAAACGTGCCAGACAAGATAAGACAAGACAAGACAAGAGACAAGACAGGATAGGACAGAACAGAACAGGACAGGACAGGATAGGACAGGATAGGATAGGATAGGATAGGACAGGACAGGACAAGACAAGACGAGACAAGACAAGACGAGACTAGTAGACGATTCGAATGGTAACGATAAGAGACCGACCAAGTTCGTTTCTTTACCTTTTTCAAATCGGCTCGCGAGAATTGCGTAGACACAGAGAGAACTATAAGGCTTGCAATAATTAACGCGGCGAGAGGTACGGGAGGAAACGAAATTCTTGGAAGAGCAAGTCGGTGCCGGTCCTAAATGGGCGTTCGTTTCGTTAACAAGGCCGAACCAGGTAAAATTGTGCTACACGGCCGGGCGTCTTTTTCAATCGTTTTCAACCGATGCTCTCCGGCGTGTTCGTTTCTGAGTCACGCTTACCAAAAACAGAATCGCCCGTGTAAAGCCAATTACATGCTGGCGTTCGTGGCATTAGCGAGAAATGTTTCTCTCTCTCTCTCTCTCTCTCTCTCTCTCTCTCTCTCTCTCTCTCACTCTCCTGATTTTTTTTTCCTTCTTCTTTTCTGTATTCTCTGTATTCCTTCTCTTTCTCTTTCCTTTTTTTTTCTTTTTTTTTTTTTTTTCCTTTTTTCTTTTTTTTTTGGTTTTTTCTTT